AGTGAGAGTCTCAAATAGAGTTTTGGAGCCAATTATAATGGCTCCAAATACATTCACATGATTTGGAGGAAGATGCAGAGCAGAGAGACTGCTTACTCAACTTACAGGTGATGCAAACAAGGAAGGATTTCTCTCACTTTTTATTGTGTTATTAATCTAAGGAAGTTAGATAAATGAGGGGAGAGAGAAAGTCAATAGAGGATCAGTTTAGAAGACAGACTTAGACATAATATAAAATGGAAGAATCCTGTTCAGAATTCTGAACCACCACAGAAGAACTAAGGCGACACCACCACAGAAGAACTAAGGCGATGACAATTTGGGCATATGGTGTGATGCTTCAAAGAGAGACAGATAATTTATAGGAGATTGCATACAACAGCTGGGAAGTAATTCTGTATATGGCATGGGCAAAGCCACAGGTGATATTCATTGTGGGCACTGTTTTGCTGTAGAAGAGAATCAAACTGAAGCATACAGAAGACTGGTAACAGAAATACTAAGCAAAAAGTGTCTTTTGAAAAAAGGTGGAGTTAGGGAGTTTTGTTCGTGTATGGTTTAATTGTTGTACCTCGTTAAAATATAATGTTATGACAGTGTTTAAGTCAGTAATTGGCGCAACCAAAATGGAATCTGTGATCCTTGACCTAGGAATCCATGTTGGATCTCCTCAGGCACTGACCATTCAGAGACCAGTCTAAACCGGATTTACCCACCAACTGGTCAGAAAGGTTCTATTCGCCTCAGACTTTTCCCACCCTTCTGGCTTGATAACAATTGTGTTGCCTCAGCCTCAGGGCTGTCCACCACAGCGGCAGCTGTGTGTGGGTCCATCTGTTCTGCCATCTGACAACAAGGCTACGGCTACACTGTAGCCTTCTTCCGGAAAAGCTTATGCAAATGAAGCACAGCGTGGAATGTTGCTGTGTTTCATTTGCATAATTAACAACCGCTTTTGTGCAAGAGGTTTTTGCAGAAAAAGGAGAGCTGTCTACACAGCTTCTTTTTGCTCAAAAGCCTCTTGCGCAAAAGTGGCTGCTAATTAATTATGCAAATGAAGTGTGATTAGGAATATCACCATGCTTCATTTGCATAAGCTTTTCCAGAAGAAGGCTACAGTATAGCTGTAGCCTAAGGGACAAGATGCAAGATCAAGATGAACTAGCAAATGAACTATCGTGCTTCAAATTAACATTGATCAGTCCTTCAGAAATACTGAGGAAAATTTACCTTCCACCATTATCCCTTTTCCTGTAAACAGTAGCCAACAATACATTTAAAATAGACACAGATTTACTGGGAATGGCTACCACTAGTTTAGGCTAGTGTCTGTCTAATTAATGTCTTATTCTTTAGTCATTTAACAGACTAGTAAGGGAAGTTTCTGTGCATCATTTGATCTTCTTTTGTCCATGGCCATCCTCTGATGCAGGCTTGTAACGGATTGTGCAACTTTTATAACATCCAGAAATGGAGATGGTGGACATTTTTCAAATTTCCAAAATTCTACTGAATTTTTTTCAGGAAAAACTTTTCCCGGTTTTTTTACCAGCTCTATTTCAAATCATGGGATGTTACTCAGGTGTTGAGTTTCTTTGTCATCTGAGCTCACCCTATGTTCATTGTGAGGGTTCAGAATCATAACCCTGTGTCAATTTATGCTTTCACTCTGCAGCTGGGGAAAGCTTGTTATTTCACATAGTTCTGAAGCAAAACCAGCTGAAGTGATGCAGTGTTTCAATTTGTTTCACTAATGGATGTAAGACCACAAATGATTCTTACACAATTCATGAGTTCAAACCCATGTGAAATAAAACCAAATAAAAGAGTCACATGAACCTTCCAAACTCCCTGACAATACAGTCCACACAGCACAGCACTCGTACACAACATGGCCAAAGGAAACAAGACAAAACGAAGATAAGCCTGAAGATTCTCCTCTGGCAAGGACAAATGTAGAAAGGTAAGGATGCTGAAATTGAAATGGCCTGTATTTTCAATTGTGTCCAGTCGGGCGAAGACTTTTTATCAGAAAAGTGAAGAGGCTTGTGGGGATAACTGCACTGGGAAGGAAGCTGGCAGTAGGGTTGGAGGAAGGGGAATGGAGGAGACATCCACATATAGCATAAAATACAGGCACATGCCCCAAGCAGTGTGCCCCTGTTCCTCTCTCACACCATTTCCTTACCACCATATTGACAATCTCAAGTGTTCAAATTCGTCCCCCATTCAACCTTTAAAGCTGTAAAAAGAATTTGGGGATTTTTTTTAAATGCCATCTGGTTTTTGAAGTAGTTTAGGTCTGCTCACATATTCAAGTTTTTCTCTGAAATCACGAGATCTAAAACTTACATAAAAGATGTCAGGCAATCACATGACTCCAGGAAGGGGGGGGGGGGCTCCACATACCATGGGACACACTGTTTCAGTGGACTAGTGGGGCAATTTGTGAAGAGTTATTCCTGTAACTTTAGCATAAGGAAACAATCTGCTTTGTGTGTGCTAGTAGCAATTCTTGCTCTGTATGTGCAGCCTAACCATACAGTCTATCTGCAAAGTTCACACACTTCCTAATGAGCAGTATGCATATTTCTCTCCATATAGGTCCACAGGCCAGCCAGTATGACCTCACTCCTAATTACCAATCTCCTGTCAGCTTGATTCATATGGGAAGGGAGCCCCAGGGAAGCATCAGTGTTTTTCATCACCACACTGATTCCAGCAGAATGTTAAGAGATTTCCCTATTACAGGTGGGTCTCAAGTCATTGCTCTTTAACCTTCCTTCAGCAGCTCATCAGCAGCTGCATTTAGAGACTTTGCTACCTTGACCTCTACAGTGAAGGGCAATGCGTGTTCATGGGACAGTTCTGCTGTTTCAGACTGTTCCAAATGTGGCCCTGTCTGTGGTTTTTTGGTTTGACATTTTTATAAGCGGTAGTTGCTTGGCAGTTGCACCCTTCCCCCCACTGTCACACCTCACATTCGCTACCTGTTTCCTTCATCCATATGTAAATCTTCACCTATACCAATGTTCTAAAATATTGAGGTTCTCTTACAAGTCACCAGGTCCTGATGAAATGCATCCCAGGATACTCAAGGAGCTGATAGAGGAGGTATCTGAGCCTTTAGCTATGATCTTTGAAAAATCATGGCAGACAGGGGAGATTCCAGAAGACTGGAAAAGGGCAAATATTGTGCCCATCTATAAAAAGGGGAATAAGAACAACCCAGGAAACTACAGACCAGTCAGTTTAACGTCTGTCCCAGGGAAGATAATGGAGCAGGTAATTAAGGAAATCATATGCAAACACTTGGAAGGTAATAAAGTGATAGGGAATAGCCAGCATGGGTTTATGAAGAACAAGTCATGCCAAACTAATCAGATAGCTTTCTTTGATAGGATAACGAGCCTTGTGGATAAGGGAGAAGCGGTGGATGTCATATACCTAGACTTTAGTAAGGCATTTGATACGGTCTCGCATGATATTCTTATTGATAAACTAGGCAAATATAACTTAGATAGGGCCACGATAAGGTGGGTGCATAATTGGCTGGATAACCGTAGTCAGAGAGTTGTTGTTAACGGTTCTAAATCCTGCTGGAAAGGGATAACAAGTGGAGTTCCTCAAGGGTCTGTTTTGGGACCCATACTGTTCAATATCTTCATCAATGATGTAGATATTGGGATAGAGAGTACGCTTATTAAGTTTGCAGATGATACCAAACTGGGTGGGGTTGCAACTTCTTTGGAGGATAGGGACATAATTCAAAATGACCTTAGCAAGTTAGAGAAATGGTCAGAGGTAAACAGGATGAGGTTTAATAAAGAGAAATGCAAAGTGCTCCACTTAGGAAGGAACAATCAGTTCCATACATACAAGATGGGAAGCGACTGTCTAGGAAGGAGCATGGCAGAAAGGGATCTAGGGGTCATAGTGGACCACAAGTTGAATATGAGTCAACAGTGTGATGCTGTTGCAAAAAAAGCAAATATGATTCTAGGTTGTATCAACAGGTGTGTTGTAAGCAAAACTCGTGAAGTCATTCTGCCGCTCTACTCTGCACTAGTTAGGCCTCAGCTGGAGTACTGTGTCCAGTTCTGGGCGCCACATTTCAAGAAAGATGTGGAGAAATTGGAAAGGGTACAGAGAAGAGCAACAAGAATGATTAAAGGTCTAGAGAACATGACCTATGAAGCCAGGCTTCATGAACTGGGCTTGTTTAGTTTGGAAAAAAGAAGATTAAGGGGGGACATGATAGCGGTTTTCAAATATCTAAAAGGGTGTCACAAGGAGGAAGGAGAAAATTTGTTCCTCTTGGTTTCTGAGGACAGGACAAGGAGTAATGGGCTTAAAGTGCAGCAGGGGAGGTTTAGATTGGACATTAGGAAAAAATTCCTAACTGTCAGGGTGGTCAAATATTGGAATAAATTGCCAAGGGAGGTGGTGGAATCTCCCTCTCTGGAGATATTTAAGAACAGGTTAGATAGACATCTGTCAGGGATGGTGTAGACGGAGCTTGGTCCTGCCTTGAGGGCGGGGGGCTGGACTCGATGACTTCTCGAGGTCCCTTCCAGTCCTATTATTCTATGATTCTATGATACATGGGCTAAAGGAACACCAAGACCTGGAAGTGGAGCTCCAACTGTGATAGTCAAATGTCTCAAGGCCTAATTCTAAGTCAGTTGACATCTATGGGAAAACTCAAAATGTCTTGAATAGGCTTTGCATCATCAGCCCCCAGCAATGGAACATTCCAGGGCAGATGGTCTGCTCCTATACCAGACAGGATTGTTGTTGTATCTTGTAGCATTTCACTCTGTAGAAATAATTATACTTTGAAATGTAGACAACCAGCTGCAGACTCGCCCTCTGACTCTCTGTTCCTGTCCTCCTTTAGCAAGTTTTATGGAGTGATTTGTACTATAGTTACACAATGGTGATAAACCGTTTTTAAAATGGAATGAAGAAAATGCAGTTGAATGAATTGCTACAAAAAGTCCTGTTTACCATTTTAAAAAAAAGTATTAAAAAATCACCATTATGGAGACATTCTGTTAGTCAGATGTGGGTAGTTTTCTGTTGATTTGTGTCCCTGATGTGAGGAGAAGCAGCCACAGATGCATGTTGAATTCTGCAGGGAACATATGCATGCATTTAAATCATTTACAGCTTTTTACTGGTGCAATTGTAAAGCACATTATTTTTTTGCATTTGTAATTAGGTTCTAAACAGATGGTGAAGGGCTGTAGCTCGCACTAAGATGGGCTTGTGCTCTGTTGGATTGCATTGAAAGAACTAACTGAGATAAGAAAGTTTCCTAATTTATTACATCATATTGGGAGGGAGGATATAACTATGTAACAGGGGTTGGCTAAATATGAATTCCAATGTGTATATATCTATCTGGAAAAAATTAAACTAGTCCACTTATCTGCTTATAATGTAATAAGCACATTTCTATGAATACAGTCTTCACTCCCAAAACTTAGCATAGATTCCAGATTTCATAAATATGAGTGATACCCAGTAGCAACTGCTCTGCACAGCATAGCTTTTATTGTGCAACAGTATAAGACATAATATCTGCTGTGACAAATGTTTTTAATATAAAGCAGAAGGTTTTGATTTGAAAAGAGTCTTTAGAATTAGAGCAAATTTGAAACACGAGATTATATACAAAGGCCAACTGTCCTGTTTATGGTTTTCACTTTGCTTTTCAGCACTGCCTTTCCCCTTCAAACCTACCTTCCCATGCTGTTTGAAGATACGGTGTAAAGTTCTTTTAATCCTCTTCCGAGGACAGCCTTGTAAACTGCAGCAACATCACAAACACAGTCTACTTCCTTCATTGCAGGATTAAGAACAAGGAAGACAATGAGCTGTGAAGGAGAAAGCCCTACTTTAAACATCTCTCACTATGGGCTGGGTAAGATGGTTCTGAAAAACACATCACGAGTAGCTAAACTAAACAGTTGTGTGTATAAGCATAATCCATTTTAACCTTACTCCTAGAACTAAACTCCTGTTCTCAGTTTATACTCTACACAGAATTAAAAACCCCACAGCTGGCCTGGGTCAGCCAATTCAGGTTCTGGAGCTGAAAAAAATGCTATGTAGACATTCTGGCTTGGTTTGGAGCCCAAGTTCTAGGACCCTGTGAGGGTGCAGGTCTCAGAGCTTGGATTCCAGCTGAAACTTGAACATCTACACAGTGATATTTAGCTCTGACGCCCAAGCATGCCATCCCATTCAGCAGACCTGGCCCAGCAGTGGCTTTGCTGCAGCACTTTTGTCCCTGTGTAGGTGTACACTTAAAAAACTAACTGGATCTGCAGATGTTTGCCTTTACCAAGCTGCAACTGTTCTTTATGAGCTAAGTAAGCATGGGTACCAACCGGATAATTCCACACCTTATGAGCTGCCTTGTTTTCAGATAAGCTGTTGAGTGGAGGAGGAATTCTTAAGATGCATTTCTTTGTATTATAAATGTATAGGTGTCTATTATTCTGCTGCATCTGCCCCAGTTTTTTGTGTTTTGTGTGGGGGGGGGGAGGGAGGAAGAGAAGAAAAGGGAATTAGGTGTGTGCATAGTTAGGACAGGATGAAAACAGACAAGTGGAAATTGAAGGAGTTTAGAATAGAGCCAGGCTATACCAGGAGCAAGTGTGACAAGGCTGAACCACTAAAAGAGATGCAATGCAAACAGTCTTATAGGTAGGCACAGGACTGAGATTCTGTGTTCCAGTTCTTCCCAAAGATCCTCTGTGATCTTGGATAAGATATTTAAGTTACTTCCTCACATGTAAAATGGCAGTAAGGATATTTCCTTTCTCCCATCCTTGCCCTGGCTTGTACATTTATGTTGTAAACTCTGTGGAGGAGTTGTTGCTTATTGTGTGTATGAACCCAGTCTACCACAGTGGTGTTTTATGCTTGGTAAGGCCCTTTTAATTCAAATGTAAACAAAATGCTGGCTGTTTTACCAACATGCCATCTCCACTGTGTTCACCCAGAGTATGTTTAAATGATAGTGGCAAAAAATGTCATGGGACATCAGCATGTTTTCTCCCCTCAAGCTTATGCTGTTGCTACTGCTGGCACAATCAAGAACTCTTGAAGTGTTGAGTATAGGCATGGTTTGAGTCTATGGAATATGAGAAGCAGCTAGCTTATGCTGAATTGTTTGCTGCTAATTCCTTGTCCTTAGCTCCAGCTCCTGAGTTGGTGGAGATTCCAGCAGTTTGTAGGGCAGCTGAGAAGACTGAACAATTGCATCCAGAGAGAATGGGAGACTAGCTAGAGGCAAAGATGCAAGGTGCTCCAAGATTATGAATAGTTCAGCTCTTTGCTGTGGCACAGAGAGTTACTAGACAAGTTTTTTAATCATTTAGAGCACACCTCCAGGTCAGAAGTTGCTGGGACCATTTTAAGCAATGTGTTTTTGTTCTACAATGGTGCCTGTTCCTTCTCTCCGTGTCTCTCCCTTACACCTTCATCTTTAAGAGGCCCATGGTGCCAGTGCAGGTGATCCTTTACAGAATGGACATATAAGTGAGCCACTTATCTGCCATTCCTTGTGCAGGAAGCTGGGCTTTCTATTGGTGGCTTTCTGGCTGCTAGAGAACAGAAGTTGAGAGGGAAAGTGGCAGTTAAAGCTTTCAAATGGCAGCCATGTGCTGGTGACTGGAAAGGAACATTTCAGAGAAATCTGCCCAGGGTCTTGGAGCTCTTGTGGCCCTTAAAGTCCTTATTTTGCTGTGAAGTCTAGGCCTATGAGAGGGGAGAAAAAGATATCAAGGCTTCCTCCTACATGGGGATGTTAGTAAGTAGTCAACTGGAGTATCAACTACTCACCACCACCCCTCTCCCACTTGCTGCCTCTATGAGAGGCAGCAAAGTTAGGGAGGGAACAGGAGCTGGTGCTGGGGGAAGCTAGCTTAAAAGCTGACTCTCCCCTCCCCCTCACCCAGTGCAGCCCTGCAACCCCCCTGCTGCCTCTGGGTGGGAGGGGGGGTGGAAAATGGGATACTGCTGTGAAGCAGCCCCTGTCCATGGGGGTCCCAAAGGAGAGTTGCCCCCTGCAGATGGGGGCTGCTGTTACCAAGCAGCCTCTGTTCGTGGCAGCCAAGGCTGGCCATGCAAAGGGGTTGCTTCAGCAGCAGCCCCTGGCCATGGCCAGCCTTGAGCACCATGAACAAGCGCTGGTGCCAGAGCAGCCTCTGTTTGCGGTGGCCAGGTATGGCTGGGGGGGGGGGGGGGGGGGGGGGGGGGCGGGCGTTTAACATCCTTATTCCTACACTATGCTCATCTGGATGAGGATAGCAGGGGCCACTTGTCCAATTTTCCCAGCTGTAGGCAAAGGGGAAGAAACAGGGTAGAGAGGAGAGCAGAGGGGAGTGAAACAGTTCTTGGCCCCATCCTCTTACTTTCAGCCACAGTAGCTGGCTGGGCACACAAAGGGAAGTGAGTAATCTTCTTCCTTACCCAGCCCTAGGGAAAGGGGGGAGGGAGGAGGAGAGGAACTGAGACAGTTCATTCTCTGTATGGCTCCTTAGTGTAATCAAAGAATCATAGAATACTAGGACTGGAAGGGACCTCGTGAGGTCATCGAGTCCAGTCCCCTGCCCTCATGGCAGGACCAAATACTGTCTAGACCATCCCTGATAGACATTTATCTAACCTGCTCTTAACTATCTCCGGAGATGGAGATTCTACCACCTCCCTGGGCAATTTATGCCAGTGTTTGACTACCCTGACAGGAACTGTTTCCTAATGTCCAACCTAAACCTCCCTTGCTGCAGTTTAAGCCCATTGCTTCTGGTTCTATACTCAGAGGCCAAGATGAACAAGTTTTCTCCCTCCTCCTTATGACACCCTTTTAGATATCTGAAAACTGCTATCATGTCCCCCCTCAATCTTCTCTTTTCTAAACTAAACAAACCCAATTCGTTCAGCCTTCCTTCATAGGTCATGTTCTCTAAACCTTTAATCATTTTCATTGCTCTTCTCTGGACCTTCTCCAATTTCTCCACATCTTTCTTGAAATGCGGTGCCCAGAACTGGACACAATACTCCAAATGAGGCCTAACTAGCACAGAGTAGAGTGGAAGAATGACTTCTCATGTCTTGCTCACAACACACCTGTTAATGCATCCCAGAATCATGTTTGGGAAACAAATATTTGTTAATGAGCTCCTCAGTCTCACAGAGAAAGATTTAACATAATCCAATGGCTGGAAGTTGAAGCCAGATAAATTCAGTCTGAAAATAAGGGACAACATTTTTAGTAATTAACTAAATTAACTTGATTTAGTAATCAAGAGTAATTAACCATTGCAACAATTTACCAAGGGTTGTGGCAGATCCTCCATCACTTGCAATTTTTGAATTGGCTGTTTTTCTAAAAATTCTGCTCTAGGAATGATTTTGGCAAAGTTCTTGGGTCTGTGTTACATTGGCGGTCAGACTAGATAGGGATGGGCAATAATTTTTGCAGGGGGGGCCACTCCAAGATTTTGGAAAGTGGTCAAGGGCTGCACTTCTCTGTGGAGGAGATATGGGATCTAGGATGGAGGTTGGGTACAGAAGGGTACATGGGGTACGGGACTGGGGTGCAGGACATGGTGTAGAGTCTGAGAGGGAGTTTGGGTGAAGGAGAAGGTTGTGACCAGGGTCAGGGGATTGCAGTGTAGAATCAGGAAGGGGATATGGGTGCAGGAGAGGATTCTGGCTTGGAGGAGGCATGTAGGATGGGGCACAGGATCTGGGAGGGAGTTGTGACCTGGGGCAGGGAGGTGCCGAACATTTGGATGGTGACCTAGGGGAAGAAATTGAGGTACAGGAGGGGCAGGAGTGCCAAAGGCAGGTTCTTGCTGGGAGGCGCTTACCTAAGTGTTTCCCAGCCAGCAGTCCTGCAGCACCCCAAAGGCAGGCTCAGCTCCCTGCCTACTGCAACCCCAGACCACTTGAAAATGCAGGTTGCTCCCTCCATGGGGCTCTCAGCTCTGGAAGGGGAGAAGAGGCTTGCACTGTCCCCATCCCCCACGCCAATTTCTCAGCTCCTATTGGCCGGTTGTTTCCCATGAAGTCTCCCCCTCCCTCCAGAGCAGAGAGGCACACGGAGAAGCTCTGAGTTTAAACAGCAGCAGCTATGTGCCTGAGGGTCCCATCAGGGTGTCCGTGGGCCGGATCCAGTGGCTTGCAAGACGTATCTTACCCAACCTTGGACTAGGTGGTCACAAAAAACTGAGGGCAGGTTGTCAAGTTCCAATTTAGCCCACAGCTATCATCTCAGCAACAGTTCCTCACTGATATCTAGAAGCATGTGCAAGGCCCACAGGTATAACTGAACCCGTGACCTCTGGAGCTTAGTGCACGAGTCTTTACTGCTTTCACTAAAAGCCAGCTGTGTCTCAGAAGGCTGTAGACAATCAATCCCGTTTGTGTGTATGTCTCTCTCTCTCCCTCTCTCCTCCCTCCCTTTCTATCCCCCTTCCCAGTTGCTGCTAGGTGGGACAGTACACACATGCACCAACTGCAGATCTTCCCTCCTCTCTCTGCCTGATGTGTTCAGGTCAGAAGGATGGCATCAGATAAGTAAATGATCATGACTTTATAATTTGATGCTACCTTTGAATTCTACACACAAGTCCAGAGAGAGAAACTGGAATCTAACCTCTCCCTAATAGGGAATGCTTCGTGGACAACTTCCACAATTTTAGAAATGAGTCAGAAGTCCTGTGTAATCAACCCCTACAATGCAGGATTGTTCCCAAAGGTATGTCATTTAGTGCTCTAATCCCTCCCTCTGCCCCACTTTGGAACCAATGTTCCTCTCAGCTGCTTACTCCAGTCACTTAGTACCTCACTGTGCAGGGAAATACTTTGATTGTGAGCTCTTTGGGACAGGGGCCATCTCTTTGCTATGTTTGCAATGGGTTGAGGCGACTAGGTGCTATCGCAATACAAATAATTAATTATATAATCAACCTCTGAGCAGATCTAGCTGATATCTACCTTCCCACCTCAGAAATGCTTCTTAGTCCCTTCCATCACATGCATTAATTATTAGTTAATATTTATATTAGTGTGGTGGGTAGAGAACCCAGTCAGGGTTAGGGCTCCATTGTGATAGGAACTGTACAAACATATGGAGTCATGGCTTACAAAGAGCTTACAAGGCATCTATGCAGTGGAAGTTTCCTCCATGCTCTGATATCCCGGTTGTGAGGGTTCTTAGTCAACAAGGCAAGCTCATGGGATTAGCATATTACTGTTTCAGGAGAAGAAACCAGCTCTTTTTGGGAAGCTGGAGAGCTAAGAGGCTGTAGTGTTGACAGTTAGCCTGTAGATGGCACCTTTTACTGTGTCTGTGGCTGAGCTGGAAATAAATGATGAAAAAAGTGTTACAATGCAGGGCTCAGAATTGAGAGGGAGAAGGGAACCTCTGGGACTTCCCTAAATGGCATCTAAATCTAATCTGCAGCAATGGCTCCAGAGTGCTGCAATCCAGATCCAAATAAAGGGACTTGGACTCCAGTTCTGCCTTTCCCTGCCCATAACTCCTTCCTCACTAGTAACTTTTAATCATTGTATACTTGCCTTTCTGTCCATCTCCATATTTTCCTTTATAGGAAATTATTACAACAGCTATTTCAGACGCTAGAGAAAAAAGTCTCTAGCTGCTTGAATTGGAGTTGTAAAATGTATGCCAGCCATAACGTTCCTTAACCCCTCATATGTTAGTGTATGAGAAACACTTTTAAATATAGGACATTTATGTATCTCTATTTAAATGAATTTATCCAATGTAATTAGCATTGTACAAAGCAGACAAAGATGATAAATTGCTAAAATGGAGATTTTATAATCTAAATTAATTGCAAACAAAGTATTCCTCTTCAGCTTCAATTAACTGCAGTTGGCCAAATGTTCTCCACTGTCTAGTTGTACAAATAACTTTCAGTTTTTGGACTAAAGTTATGCTTTTGGGTCTGCAGTGGCAGAATGTTCAGAGCTATACCTGCAAACCCATTCCATGGGAGCTCAGAGCTCTTTTCCAAATGCTTATTCCCAGGTAGTTAACATTTCTATGCCTCTAGTTGCATGGCAATGAGGCACATTCCAGAACATGGAGCTCCCATTACCAAGGGACTCTGAGGGATCCCTAACACACTGAAACAGAGATTGTACCAAAGCCATCCAATCCCTGGCCAAGAATTATAGGAGCCATTGGAATAGAGCTCTGCACAACGGTTTTTTGTCTACCCAGCCTTTAGTCTTTCCATCATGTTTAAATGTGTGATTTTCACAGTGGATACTTTATTAAATTTTAAATGCCATTACTTTCCTAAAAATATTATTTTTTTCAGAGCAGAGTGATCAGTTTATATATCCGAAATATATCCACCATCCCTTTAATCAACAGAGTGGACAATCCCTTAACTTTATACAGGCTTCTTTGCCTCACCTGCTTACATTTCTCAAATAAATGGCATGATCTTAAGATTTGTCTTAAAATGCTGTATAAAATTAACCTAGAAATTAATTTCACGCAGGAAGAATGGGTCACTGTCAACCATAACATTCAGGTATGTTGCATGGACTATCAAATCAAGAAAATTCAATGCAAATCAGTTCACAGCATTTAGCGAAGCTGATTTGATTGTACCAAATGGCCTGTCCCAAACATGAGGGGCTAAAGCTGGGGTGAGGGGAAAACACCATCATCTACATACTATCCCCATTTTAAAGTGCTGTTGTATGAAGAACCACATTAATCCTGGGAATTCCTATTGTTGATCTGTTTGCCAGTTCTGTGCATTTCTTAATAAGCTGGGGAAGATGTAACTTTCTGGTGCCTAGAGTAGTCTTCAGATAATAGTTCTGATGAACCTGGCTGGGTAAACTGACCCTTTGTGTAGAAACAAAGAACAATGCTGAATTTCATGTTGCTGAAGCCAATACCCTCCCTTTGTCACCAAATTGAGGGATTATGCTTTTATACGCAGCAGTGAGTTTTTAAAAAAGTCCCAGTATATGGCTGTTTAGCAATAGAAGGGTTGTTGCAGTCAAATAAGGTAAAAGAGCTGTGCATGTGATGCATTGTTGAGTTATCATTCCATAGCATCTTAGACATTCTTAAGACAGTGTTTCCCAAACAGTGGGTTGTAATCCAGCAGTGGTCATGGGGAGGATGGGTTGTGGACCAGTATGGTGGGGAAGTTTTAGGGGAGATTGGAAAGCAAACCTGCCTTGCACTCATCTAACAGAAGCAGCATCTGTCTTCCTGGTGTGAGCCAGAGTCTCCAGTCCAGCCATTGTGGTGTGACCTGTGTGTGCATGAGGTCACATCACCACATCATAATGAAAGATCAGCCAGGACAAATTTGAATGAGTACTGTTCTGACCTTGTGCCAAACATAATTGGCACTGTGACCCTGTGTGTCTGGTCAGAATGTGCCGAGAGAGAGTCTGGGCTTAGCCCCTTTGGAACTGCTCTGTGAGTATGAGGGAGGGGGTTGAGCTCCAGTATCCACTCTCCTCAGGTCACCCCTCTACATTGGGCCAAGATTAGGATGGTGCCGGGGGAAAGGAGCTGCTACAGGTGATTGATGGCCCTTTGATGGGGAGAGGAGGAGGGAGCGATAAAGAAAGAGGACACTGCTCTGATTTGTTCTCCCCTTCAAATTTGGACCTTGGGTGGATCACAATAAAATGCAGTTGGTGGGTCATCTTAAGACAAAGTTTGGAGACCACTGACTTAGGAGAGTACTTATTAAAAAATGTCCTGTTGGCTAGTTCAAATAGTCCACAGTTCTGCAAACAGGTGTATCTATGACCTAAAAAAAGCCCGTCAAGGTTATAGGTTGAATAGTGTTCTGTGGCGATGTAGAATATGAACAAGAGGAATAGGACAATGATTCTTAAGTGTAAGAGAGCTGCACTTTAAATAGAAACACTGGCCTGAATTTATCATGGCAAGTCATTAAGTAAGCCATCATCAGTATGAAGTCAGAATGACTGCAAATGACCAATCCGGAGCCTTGTCTGCAAATAGCTTTTCCCCCCCCCTTAATTATTTTGTCTCTTGTAGTTCTCTACTTTATTTGTCTATGTTTTATGGATGTGAATGAAATCCATCTGTACAGTTTATTTGTATATTCCAGCAGCACTTAGCCTGTGTTAAAGGCTGGCCAAGACACCATTCCTGCCCCACAGAGTTCCTAACCTAAGGGTGCATCTACACAGCACCCTAAACTTGAAATAAGATACACAATTTGCGCTATGCAAAGTGTGTATCTTATTTCAATTGAATTTCAAAATAACATATTTGGTGCATCTACACAGTACCAAATTTTGAAATAACGTGCTATTCTGAGACATCCCTTAACCCTCGTGGAACGAGGGTTACAGGGATGCTAAAATAGATATCAAACTAGCTGATGTGGTATCCCAAAATAGAGGGTGTATTCAAAAGATGCAGGGTAGCTATTTTGGGATACTTCCAGTATCCTGAAATTGCCCCACTGTGTCAACCTACCCTAAGAGAACAAGCAATATGGGTGCAGGGGAGAGACACAATCTACCATGCAATTTATGTATGTTAAAGTATCAGCGAGGCCCTAACTGCCCCTCACTATATGCATTATTAGCTGGCATTTCATTTTATTTCAAATGAATTAAACTCCTTCCTGATTCTCTGGCGTCCAGCTCCTTTCACCAGCAGTCACCATCTTCCAACATTAAAAGACAAGGAGATACTTCTCTTGACTCAACCCTAGTACTGACTTTGAGTGGCCATTTGTCAGCAGTGTCACTTCTGGAGAAAGGGACTCTTCCACCTGCTGGACACTAAATGACACTGCTATCACAATATTACTCTACTCCAAGATGGGCAGTGCAACCTCTGATAAGTCACCTGCTCCTCCCTGCAGTGCCTGTTTATAATCTACCCCTACAGTACATCCCCCTTCTATCAAGGTAATGACTATCTCCTCCAGAACTATGATTGCACTCCAATCACGGTGGTGGCTGATGAGGGAAGGGGGGTTGAATAATACAGAGAACTCCCTTTACCCTCCCCATATTCAAGAGAGCAGGGGTAATCTACATCTTATTCAGATTGCCCAGTGCCCTATAGCCACTCTCAGGGATAGTCTATACTTGAAACACTGCTGCGATGCTTCAATGTAGCTACTTACTGTAGTAATGGGAGGGGTTTTTCCATACGCATAGGTAATCCATTTCCCTGAGGCATAGTGTTTGACTACTATGATACTGCAAGTATTTAAACCCTGAAACTACTGATCAGAGCTAGATCAGTGGTGTTTGTTTTGACCATTAAAAACAGATTTGATTCTTGCATAATCAAATTATCTCAGTAGGAGAGGATCATGAGGGAGGCAGGTAGCTGTATGGATAAGCCAGGAGGTCCTGTCTCACCCTGTCACCACATCTTATTCTTGGGGCGCCGAAGGACTTCCTTGCTGCAGACAGCTGTTCTTGAGAGGGTGTTTATGATGCTGGTTTCATAATGCAAGGTTTAATAGGTCTGGTAACAGAGAGAAACTTAAATTTACAGTGTGGTTTGCTCTCTAAGGTACACCACTGGACTTAGAAGCCTCAGAGAGGAAGGTTTTATACATAGCTTCCCAGTTCACTTCTTTATCTGAACTAGCAACACTTACCAGAGTCTGGGATCCTTCAAAGCGAACAGCTGCATCACAGCAGAGAAACAGAGTAACCTGAGCACACTGCAAACAACAACTTGTGTGATTTCACTACTGGAGCAGACATTGCACACATGCACTCCTGCAGAGGCTAGACTGCACAGTTACAGACTATATAAGGGAATCACCTCTAATATTTTATACCAAAGTTGTTTGGAGGATTGTGGTGTAATGCAAATGCTTACTCCATTTACAGTCCGGGGGGGGGGGGGGCGAGGGCTTTGTGATACGCAGATTACCAAAATCAAACTGGCTTGTGGATGCTAGAAAGTAAATATTTGATGACATCTAGTCAGATGCACCAATATTTTGTACTTTTGAAAAGCAAACTATTCAAAATGCTTAATTAAAGAGATCTCCATAGTGCAGCAAATTAAGTCTCTAGCCTTTCACCTTGGGTTCAGATTGCTCACAGGCAAAATGATTTACTAACTACTAGGGTCTAAACTGAAGATATTTGTCCACTCCAAATCAATAAGCACCACACAGTTTGGTAACGATCTAATTGTCCACAGATGTTCAGGAGAGTCCTCAGATTAATCAATGCTACCAGACTCTGACTTCAGTAAGCTGTATGAGTCACTCATCCAAAGATGTTTTTAAAGGGGGGGGGGGGAGCATTTGATTAACA